AATAACCTCACAAGGAGAAGATCCAAAAAAAAAAAGGGAAGACTTAATAGTGTATAATGGACAATCTTCTTCTCCCCACTTAGTACATACCTAAGGTATAGGATGTATTTTACTAAGGTACACCTTATAGTTTCACATAATTACAGAGACTCACTTATAGTTTTCATATTACTAAGGCACCCCCTCTACTTCCCTTGGCTTGGGGTAGTGGAACTTAGCCCCCGGAACCTTCATTTGTGACAAAGACCCACCCTGAACTTTCGGACTCTAACACTTTGTCTCTTTGGTGATGAATATAAAATTACAAAGATGCATATGCAAAGTTTTGTATTCTATTGGATATTTGGATTTGTCTTCTTATGCTTTTCTCTCTTTCTTTGTTTGCAATTTTCTATATATTGTTGTCCTTTACTTTTTCCTAATATTTATTGTTTACTGTAATTTCCTGCTTTTTTCCAATGTTCACAAAACTAGATCAAGCATTGACGGATTGACCTAAAAAAGGGAGAGGTTCACAGGTCATAGGTACAACCAGGGTTGAACTGTGTTAATATACACACAATTATATCATATATACACAATAATATTAATTAAATACATATATTTAAAATATATTATTATATTTTGTTATAACATATATTTTATTTTAGTTTCACTTTTTGTAAGTTCTGAGGCAAAAGAGACTTTTTTTTTTGCAAAAATCACCCTAATCAGAAAGTTATGGCCTTCAAAAGTTTGCATTTATGTTTAGAAAATTAAAGAATTACGACTAATTTACTAAAACCGGGACTAGTTCACCAATTTTCAAGTTGGACTTGCTAGGTCAATGGTTTTGTTTGGTTTTTTATGATTTCAGGGATATGATCAAACAGTAGGGCTTAGATCACGTTCAATTGGTCCAACCAACCAATCCAGTCTAGTTTTCTAAATAGTGGTTTTTCTGCATTTTATCTTTTTTGTTATATTTTCTGCAAGGTCTATTTTTTGTATTTTGTTTTATTTCTCTCTTTTTCTTTCGTTTTTTTGTGGTTGTAATTCCTATGCTTTCTAGAGTTTCCTACTTTTTTTTTGTTATATTTCTACAAAATAGTCGCATGCCCTATTTTGTATTGCCTATTTTATTTTTATTTTATTTTCTTTATTTCAAATTAACATTTCAATTATTTATTTTGTTTTAATTGTTTTGGTAAAATAAATAATCATTTTGCACTTTCACCTAAGAGAAGCAACAAGTGCTTGTGCATTTGGGGAGGGCCAGATACAACTAGGCCCCGTTCGTTTTTCGGTAAGTTACTTACCCGGGTAAATGCAATTACTTGGGTAAGTTTTTTCCTAGAAAACACTTACCTGGGTAAGTGCATTTACCCATATTCTTTTATTTCTCAGGTAAATAATGTAATGACCATTTTTTAGTCATAAAAATCCATTATTAAAAGGGGCATTTTTGTCCCATTCAAATGTTAGCAACCTTCCTCCTAGGTGAGAAAATTATTTACCCACCTAGGAGATGGGTATCATTTACCTGGGTAAGTGATACGGGTTCGGATGTAGTAGGTATGTTAGGTAAGCACAATGAGCGAGCATGTAATAGTTGTGTGATGCACGTCCTAGTTAATGCGCCTTTCATCCAAATGTTTTGGCTCCATTAGAAAGAAATTATCCATTATTTTATTACCTTTGTCAAAATAAGTAAAAATAAAAAAAACAATGAAAAAGGAAAACCTAAACGTGTTGGGAGTTGGGATTCATTTATGTTTTCCTTTTTCATTGTTTTTTATTTTTAATTATTTTGACAAAGATAATAAAATAATGGACAATCTATGTCTAATGGAGCAAAAACATTTGAATGAAAGGCGCATTAACTGGGACACGTGTCACACAACTATTACATGCTCACCCATTGTGTTTACCCAATGTGCCTACTACATCCGGACCCATTGGTCAGTCATCACATTAATCTGAAAAATGAACATGGGATTCTTGGTCAATGGGAACCAAAATCCCATTGACCAACTTTCCTCCCTCTCAAAATCCAAAAAAAGAATACCCCCTAAGTTGGTTCTGTTGTTTGAAAGACTCAAGTCTTCAAATAAGCTATTCAAAGAGGCTGAAGTTTAAAAAACTGATTGATACAGCTGATCTTTTTTTTGGTAAAAAAAAAATATACTTGTATAAAAGAAGAACTAGGTACAGAAACACTATCCAGGTCAGCCAGCTCCTAGATCCACGTTGGACAATCCAGGACAAAACAACCAGATCTAGAGATACCCATCCTGGCCAATTTGTGGGCTATACCATTCCCCCGACCTACTAGCTAGACCTGTTCATAGGCCAGGCTTTGGGCCTGACTTTCACTGTATCAGACTCGGGCTTCAGGCCGGGCCTCCTTTAAAATTTGGCAAAAACTAAACCCGAGCCCAACCCATGAACAGGTCTACTATCACTAACAAAAAAAGGCCTAATATTTCTGTCTTCAGATCGATTTACAATATCATGAATAGGAACTGAGCATCTTGCACAAGAGAAATTTTTCCACGGGAGTTGGCTTGAATCAGGTTACTACAGTCACTTTCCAAAATGAAGTGGGCAGCTTTCAAAAGATGCAGCAGCTTTAGCCCTTGAAAGATATGCTCTACCCGAGGACTCCCTCGCAATGACTCCAAAACGACCAAAACCCTAGGGCTGCAAACAGTATCCGATTTTGAATTCGAATTCGATGTTATTAAGGGTGATCCGAATCCGATTCAATTCGATATATACATATTACATGTGTGATTAAAGTTTGTCTTAATGATGTATTTTCACGAAATTGTCATATGTTCAAATTTTAGACAAGTAAGTTTCAATTCATTATGTCCATAACCTATAAAGTTAAAGTCATTTTTATCTCATCTTATTAATAATATAGAATATTCTGGTCATTTTTAGTCTAATTTATTTATACTATTTAATATTCAGTCATAATCCGAATTCGATTAAAATATGAATCAAATCAAATTTAGATATACCTATATCCGATCCGATCCATTTACAACCCTACAAAACTCGCCTTTCCAGCTTCCAAAAAAAACTCTCATCCGCGTTGATCTTTATAGTTCCCTGACCAGGAGCTTTCCTTGTAAATTCAATTACAGGGGAAGAGGGGTACCACCCTAAACCGAGCCAATTAGCAAAGGACGAAACAGAAGCAAAGCCATCAGCTGATTTGGACTCTCCATGTGAGTCTATCTTAGAAAGGCAGAAGCTGCTATCGAAGGGCTGGGCTAAAGATTCAGCTAAGCCAGAAGTTGCTGTTGAAGGACTGGGCTAAAGATTCAGTTAAGCTGATTCAGTTGCTTTAAAGCTTTCTGGATAAGCCACTAAAAGAGGTTGAAGACTTGAAGTGGGCAGCCATTAAAATGACTGACTGGCAGCTAAACCCGTTCATGGGTGAGGAGCACATCCCGTTCCACCAAATACATCTTATAGACAGTTTTATGTGGGGCCCACCTTAAAAAGCCAGAAGCTACCGAAGTATAGGATAGGTTTTTAGCATATTGTTGACAGGTGGCAAGATCTCTACATGCTTCATGTTTGGCGTTGGTTTGACATGCTTCATTCTCAGTTCTCACAAAATTCATCTTTCACACCTTCCTCACAGCCTTCGAAACCGTGCATCGGGAATATCTCATTTTATTGATGGAGAGATATTCTCGATGCACGGCTGAAGGCCTGCGCCGAATTCCAAATCCCGTTTGGCCGAATTCGTTACAAGCATATCCGAACCGGAACTCACCCGTCAACAAATTTGGCGGAGAAGCCAGCTGCAGAATTCTCAAGTCAAGTCAAAGGTTTTACTGTTCCAACTTCCAAATTGATGTGGCAGATATTCGATGCAACAGCCTCCATAACAATATTCTGCGCATCTTTTTCTTGATGCAACATTTCGGATAGGTCGTGGGCCCCAACCCCCATCTGTCAGTTACATAGCAGATAGCACAAATTCGATGGCAGTGGAGCACAAGATACGCAGGTTCTGCGATGCAGCAGATATGAACGAAACCAAGAAGCCTGCGAGTTCCTGGACGAGTTCACACAACACGAACATCTGTTTTTCTGCAGCTTTTCGCGCTTTTCTGCAATTCCTGAAGCACCCCGAAGGAATTCGACTTTGTTTGATACTGATTGTGTTTCGATTTTCGTGGATTTTGTAGCAGAGAGATCCGGAGGCGTCGAAATGGCTGCAGAACAATACAAGTTTCGGAAGGCTCCTCCCACTTTCGAACAATATTGGGTGATCTTACAAGAGGCTTGTGACAGGATCACCAATGGACTAGAGGGAAAATCTCTGATCCAGGGTTTATCTTCTGATGATTATATGCGGTATTCCACGTATCCTAATGCTCCTATTTGTTCTGGATTTATTTCTCTAGTTTCAAGACTCGTCACTTGCTTCAATTTCTGTATTTTCTTAACCTAGCACCTGTGATTGGTTTGCATTTCTGCATCTTTTTTGCATAGCTTCAATGATATTGCATCATGTGTAGATTTGTATACCTTTAGCTCACCTCCGCAGAACCGTTTACGATGCTTGTTCTCCAGAACCCCCCTGACTATTCCCAGCAAATGTATGACAAATTCAAGGAGACATTCAAAGAATACCTCAATTCCAAGGTCTGTGCATGACATCTTCGTTTTTCTTTCCTTCCATAGAGGAATACCATTTGATAAGAAGTAATGTTTCCAAAGGGAAAGTACCAAGTGGTTACGTAGTAAAAATGAAACATAATATTTATGAATTTATCCTAAGCCCTTCTAAGCTGATAGATATTCTATTATTTTTCATCCTCTAAAGTCTAAACCCTTAAACCCACACTCAAGCAGCAACTAGGAAGGTCAGAGGTAGTAGCCTAGCCCCGTGAATTTGATAGAAATAATAAGAGACTTTCTTTTTTTTCTTCCCCCTTAGATTTTTTTTTTTTTTTTTTTTGGGGGGGGGGGGGGGAAGAGAGAGAGAGAGAGTGAAATTAAAAAGGATTTCATTTACTCCACCACTATTTTTTTCCAACACAATGTTTCATGTTTGATGGTTTTTCTATCAGGTCATACTATCTTTTAAGAGAAAAGAGGGGTGAAGTCTTGTTAAAAGAATTTGTGAGGAGGTGGTCAAATCACAAAGTTATGGTTAGATGGCTTTGGAAGTTCTTTCATTATCTTCAACGATACTTCATTAGTTCATTCCTATAAGGAAGCTTCCCCCACTTGACAGAACTGCACTCATGTCCTTCCCTAATACTTGCCATTTCATTACTTCTTTAGGTCAAACTTCACAGATAAGTGGATTCGTTATTCCATTTCCCAAACTCTAGAACATTATTTGACTTATTTCAAACTATATATATCCAATTCTTATATGGTCTTTAGGTCTACAATGAAGTGAATGAACAACTAAGGGATGCTGTAATGTCTATGGTATGTTGATGAATGATAACAGACTATGTCAACATGTTGGCAATCTTCACTTCCTAGTCAAGCTCAAGAATAACAGTTATCTTAGTCCCTTAGATTGGTGAAGAGCTTGAAGCAAGGAATATTAACCAGGCACTGCTTTGGATGTTTTGGATATGCATGCGGAGATGGGAATGGGATCTATGAAATATTATGAGGACTTCGAAGTAGGCTTGCTTAAAGAGACTGATGTGTATTATTCCATAAAGGCCTCTAAATCGGTTACAGTCTATCCTCACTCAGACTACATGCTCAAGGTAACTCTTCTTTCTTTCTTTCTTTCTTATGTATACATGCTATTCCTTGGTCTAAAGTCAGTTTACTATGCCAGGTGTCAAGTTAATGATCTTTTGGTTTTTATAACTGAAATGATTCCTAGGTGGATGAATGCTTGAAAGTTGAAACAGGAGAAAAACAGAGCTTCCTGCTACTTACATTCTAGCAGTGAACAAAAGCTACTAAAGGTTATTTAGTTATTTGGCATCATTTTCTTTGCCGATTATATTGGTGTATGTTATACACCGTATAATCAGATAATCTGAATTCATGCTCTTACAGAATTGGTGATTTGTTTTGTCCTTGACAGGTTGCGGAACAAGAGTTTTCTATGTATGCAGGTCATTTGCAAGAGAAGGCATTTTCAAAAGATGTGATGGTATACTACTAACTTGCAAATTCTAGGGAACAGAAATATATTTCATCAAATTGGTACTACAAAAACACTATAATCTGTAAGTGTTGCGTATGAGATTGTAAATGTGACATTCATGTATGCAATATCTGCAGCCATAAGGTGCTTTTGTAGTACTGTGTTATGGGCTCGGGCGTAGGATCTCGTCACGGGTCGGTCCACGGGGAGAACCTCGAGTTTCCCCTTGCCCCTCCCTTTTCATGCAGACCCTATCGTGGCGACCTAAGGGGTGATTTGTCCAAGAGATCATGGCTCCTTAAATAGGAGATTACAAGAGTCCTTCTCTTAGGGAGACTCCTTGCTGAATAGGGAGACCTCCAACTCTATCTTGATAAAATAAGACCGATAAGATAAGATAAGTCTCTCTTAATCCTAGTCTAATAAGATAAGATAATCTAATCTACTAACTTAATAAGATAAGATAACAAGATAGTCTAATCTAATCTGCTGAATGGATAAGACTGTTGCTGCCAAATTGGATAGGATGAGAACACCGGATCATTGCTGCTGCTACTCCCAATACGCGTCCACATCATACTGGTACTATGATGCACATATATGCATATATATATATAAAGCATAAACCAATGTCGAACCTGATGGACTTCCTGTCTGTTCTGTACAGAAAATGGTTGAGCTACCAACTACTTCAAGCAGTGAAAAGAGAGAATGATAAGGCCACATAGCATGATTCACAGATTTATTTCATTAACTGTGAAGCCGAATAAAATAGGTTGCATGTTGGAGTTTTGTGTGGTTGAAACAGGGAACCAAGTCAACTAACAAGTAAAATGCATGAGATCAATGTAGATTGCACAAGACCAATAATTATATAGAGAATTCTTTTTTTTTCTATTTTCCTTTAGTCTATGTTTTGTTTGAAGGAAAATGTAGGGAAAGGTAGGGAAACTTATACAAGATTTGTAAAGGTTTCCCTACCTTTCCCTACTTTTTCCTTCAAAACAAACATAGCTTTAAAGTTGGATATATTCTGCAGTGAGATCTTTTCTTCTTCTTTTTCTTTTTTTTTGATAAAACAGAAGGAGCTACACAAGCCAGGGGGTCCTATTTATTTATTTTTTTTGATAAAACAGAAGGAGCTACACAAGCCCGGGGGGTCCTTTTTTTTTATAAAACGGAATGAGCTACACAAGCC